CAAGCATTTTCTCAAAGTAAGGCATCCAAATAAGGCGATATGAACCTCAAGGCATTTCTCTAAATTTATTCTGTGGTCTATTTTCAGACATGTTTGTTCAATATGGCGTAGATGGGAAACCCAAATCCTATAGAACCACAAACCACAAGACACCATTACTATGGGTTAACAATTTCTGTGTGTTGGAAATTTGGATCACCACATTTGAATGGAATCTCAGACTATATATGATTTTCCTTCTGAATATCCTGAGATGAGGAAAAAACACTGGTCGTCCTCAATAAACATAGTTCCAAAATCCCGAATTTCGTCACCGTACTGTAGCTCACAACAACATTTTATAACGATTAATAACCAGTTGGTCGTTAACAGCAGATGTAGTGGGAAATGAGTCAATGTGGTAGATGACATGAGAAGAGAGAAGTCCGTTCGTTGTTTATTTTCAGTGCTGTTGGAGCATATATTTTATGGTTTCGTTTGCTTTTTGGCTCTCAAACTGTCACAAATGCTGCTACAGGCGTGATATATCTAATCAGGACATCATGGAGCACATACATAGACGGGATACGAAGCTTATTCACAGTAAATAAAGTGCGAATATTGTAGAGAGGAAAAATTGATGATTTTCTACTTCCCAATGGTATTGTCTAAGCATGAGTCAAAACTTCAGGGAGGTCATTCTCTTAAGTATTCTAAGACTTGTCCTATGATGATTAACAAAAAATTAGCGAAAAACATTTTTTTGCTAAATTGAGAATTATTCAAAATAACTGAAGCTATAATCTAAACTGTTCAATTAGCAGATCACCTTTTTTAACACGCTTGTATTTAACACTTTAGTACTGTTACAGACCGTTAAAATGCATGAATTAATGAAATTTTCAGGAATTTTATTGATAACCAAGCTCCAACGGATCGAATCATGCGTATGTCCTTTTCGTTACTGCCGAGTGTCCTCGCCCCATGGACGCCCCGAAAGGGCTTCACGGCCCTCTTATGACCTGGTTTGTCCTTGCAAGTAAACAACATACCAAATGTAAACAACCGTCAATACATTGTCGCTCTTGAAGGGATGGATAACAGTCTAATTTCATTTCAGGCTTAGAGGTAAAAGCATTTTCAACCTATTTCTACACGTTGTTTTACGTCGCATCGTAATCGAAAGTTTCTACACTAGGACAGATGTCCCAAAATAAAAGTTGCAGAGACCTTCACGTGAATTTGCTGCTACAATTCAACGTGCTACACGTAACTCTTACCGCTCTTTTACAATATTCTGATGTCATCATCACCATCATCATCATCATCGCCAAATTGTGAAACCCCAATACGTCAGACCGATTCCTCTGATGGTTTTTTGATCTTAGCTTTATTGTTATCTAGGAGGTAGAGAAAAGCTTTCTAACCAACGTGCGTTGTACCACTTCCCGTCATCAACATGTTTGGGCATAGAGGCAGATTGCATGTGAGGGAGATGGATTCTATGAAATTGAAATACGTTGAATAAACTACAGCACTATTCTCTATTTTGACAGTGAACGGGGTATTCAGTTGACGAGACGCGACTATGATGTTCCACTACCACTCTCTTTCTATCGAATTGTGCTTTGTATCTACTGCTTTCTTGAAGCTTATAAGTAATCATCTTCTGCATTTTGAAAAATTCTACATTTTCTTTATATCATCCCACTTTTGTGCACGTGCCAAAAAGTTGTATGCATACAATGTCAAGGAACGACAAAATCTAGTCCGGTAACTTTGGTGCCACGCCCGGTATGATCCTACGTATTCTACCGCCTCCGCGGATCTCTGTGAAAGAAAATGAGGAATTAATTGTGCAGCGTGCGTCACTCTATCAGATCTATCGTTCTACCGGTCGCAGGTTGATAAAAATGTAGCAAAGCGAATCTGGTTTTCAGTAAACTTGTTCCGCCCTCGCGAAAAATCAAAGCCAGTGGCGGGGACGCATTCGAATAATCATCAACTGATATGGTTCTATGTGTTGCACAGCACTTTAGATGCAGACGTTCTCGGGACGAGTAGAGTTAAAGACTACTGCTCATGATGACTGGCTAACGAAATACCTGGTGGTTATCACTGCATGGGGTTGCAGCAATTTTGTGCAGTTCATTAGTTCCAGCTCATTGTTGTACCTCAACTAAAAACAGGTGCCCATATTCACATCTATAGGGTGTTTTTTTCGAGGTATAGATCTTTAAGTTGGCATTACTTTTGAAGATGGCGACCGATTTGACAGCTGTCAAGTGATATATTATCAGTTTGGTTTGGCAATTCATCATGAATAGACTCACGCCTGAACAACGCTTGCAAATTGTGCAGTTTTATTTCGAAAATAATGGTTCAATGGTGATCGGTATACAGCCATGATTACTAACGTTTTTATTCCTGAATTGAACAATCATGATGTCCAGGAGCTGTGGCTCCAACAAGACGGCGCAACATGTCACACAGCTCGTGCTGCAATCGATTTATTGAAAGACACGTTTGGTGACCGCCTAATTTTACGTTTTGGAGCTGTGAGTTGGCCTCCAAGATCTTGTGATCTAACACCGCTAGACTATTTTCTGTGGGGCTATGTAAAGTCATTGGTCTATGCGGATAAGCCACAAACGCTTGACCATTTGGAAGACAACATTCGCCATGTTATTGCCGATATACGGCAACAAATGTTGGAAAAAGTCATCGAAAATTGGACGTCCAGATTGGACTACATCCGAGCCAGCCGGGGCAGTCATATGCCAGAAATCATATTTAAAAAATGTAATGCTACAAGATTATCTTTCCAATAAAAAAAAAATGCATGTCAATCGAATAATCCATCGTTGTTTTATTGCAATTTAAAGTTCTATACGTATAAAAAAAAAACACCCGTTAGTTGTGATGAACAGTTGAGCTTTGACAGGAAACAATTGACTTGTCGGAGTGCATATCACTGGGGATATGGTCACTGCAAGACAGAAGCAAGAGCAAAGGAGGTTTTTCCTAAATTTAAGCTCCTAGTTTTTTACAATAGGCTAAATTTTGACTCAGCAACTTTTTACAATACAAACAGTAATCTAGTCTGCACAAGTAATTCAACAAATACTAATTCTTATCTAAAATAGTTCACGCCACCTAAAATTTATAGATATGTGATACCTATCTTGCGTGTACCTCGAACTGTCAAGTCTGGACATCATCTACTGCTCTCACATTGCGTCTCATGACGTCACGCCAATCGGCGTATCTTACGAAACAACCCAGTTTTTATGGGCGATTTTCATTTTTTTTATTGAATGTTCCCATCCAAAAAATGTCCGAAACTATACATTCAGCTCCAGCGTATATTTTCTCAAATTAGTGTTCAGAGGATTTTCAGTAGTACCCAAGAAAACGATCATATTTACAAAGGTAACATAATCTTTATTATAAACAAAGATTAAGTTTCGAATAAACACTGCAGTTATTCACTGTTGGTGAAGGAACAGGTCACTCATATTGTTTTAGGTTTGTGGAGGATGAAATTGTCACCTCTGTAGTTGTGTGCTCTTTTTTCTACATTTTTTGTCTTAGAAATTGTCATCTCTATGGCTGTTAATGATTTCATTCAGTTTGTCGGAATATCGAATTTTGCATGTTTCTAGAAATAGAGCTTCCTATAGCGCTTCCGGCTTCTCATCTCGTCGCTTATCTTACATTTGCCTATGAAAGTATCCAATACTGGTTTTTTGAATATTAGAGGTCAACTTCCATTCTATAAAGGTGTACGCTCACTGAGAGGAAGGGAGGCGAAGAGAAGGAAAGCGAAATTCACCCGCTGATCTCCTTCGCATCTCTTCTTTTCAGTGTTGGTATTTCCTGAATTACTATGCAAACTTAACTGAATCTAGGTAGATTTATACAGGGTGTCCTGAAATTTGGGACTTTCCTTTTCAGAGTCAACTACGTTTGCAATACCAAAGCTAACTTGCTGCAGAACAACACCGAAAACGTAAAAAAAGAAATTGAGGAAAACTATTCACTATTCATTTGATAAGGAATTTCAAGTATTGCCCTGTCACATGTTTTATCTGTAAACACTGCTCGAAGTTGTCGTTGTTTGATTCAAAAACACGAGTTTCTTTACATCTTCCTAAATTTGCAACAGACATACAGACAGAACTGGCCGATACGACCGCTTCTTCGTCCCAAGGGGTCGAAATTGTGGAACAATCTACAAGAGGAAACTTTTCCCAGTTCTACTAATCTTAGGCAGTTCAAAAATCGTATTAACAAAATTTATTTGAGATCATCATAGCAGCCGCGGTCTTCCGGCATTTAGGCTTCTGCCTGCGCGGCTGCTTCGATATAAAAAAATATGGGGATGTCTAGGTCTTTAATTGTGTTCAACCAGATGGCTTTTGCACGATATAAACAAACATATGCAGCTCTGATGGGAACCAACATCGAGGACGACGGCGACCTTCTAAGTACACGTGCGGAGTATCAATAGGATCTTGAAGATGCCCATATCAAATCGATAACTACGTTATTGCTCTAGGAATGTGCCAACTTTGGTTTTTCAAATGCGATTTGCTTATAGTGTAGGTTAATCTAGACACTACGTGACTCCTGATTTGGATATTGACTCACATAGTCTTAGTATCTTTTGACGAGGAAAGGATTGTGGAGGGGAGGGAGGCTCATTTAACATATTGGTTTTCTTAAAGCTTTGGTATATATGTTACTATAAACATTATAAGCTTATTATTACGTGACCTAAACGCTCTTTAAAGGAAAGTCCCAACTTTGAGGACACCCTATATGTTGAAACTTTAGGGAGACATGGTACCTTCGATAGTCTGAGACATACATTTTGAGCCTGTTGATGTGAGTCGCCCCTATGTTCTTGCGACATGACCACCATTTTGGATAACGGAAAGAGTGCAGTGTTACGCCTCTGGTTGGGAACAAATATTTTTTTTATTTCTTAGATGTGGGACTGTATCGTTTAGTCCCGACGTGGTTTTGCTGCTATACGAGTTGTTTTTCGACGCTTGCCGCGCGTCGTTTCCCCTCACTACAGTGGTGTTATTAGAAATCTGTGAAATGTTGAATGAGTGCCAACTGTGCCAGACCCAATCTCAACCTAAAGAATCGCTTGTCTCCATCGCTTTCGTCGGAAAAAGTTAATTTTCCACAAATTAATGTGTCAGCTGGAGTATTTGCTTTATGACCTGCTGCGTAGCTGCAGTGTTGTTCCAGTTGAAAAGGTAATTTGTCAACAGCGCATTGGTCAGACAAACTAAGATATTTAGACAGAGATTTTTTTGACTCTAGACATCAATTTACAATAAATTTAATGATTAAATGTGATTGCCGCAACGATTCAAGATTTTTCCAGATTATATTATAGCATAAACTGATACTTTTATCGAATTAATGACAGTTCAAAATCTACTATGAACGCTTTTGAAGCTTACTGATAAAAAATTGCTTACCTGGGTCATACTCTAAGAAACAACAAATACAAAATTTCGCAACTTACTATAAAAGAAAAATTATAAGGAAATGTGTGTTAAGAAAAAAAATTGCCCGTGTTAAGAAATATTAGGAATTGAACAGGTTGATGGTGGAAGCTTTTGAAGGTCTGATAAAAAGCCGAGACTACAGTGGTCGGTAACCTCTAGTAGTAGGAAACAAAAAAAAAAAAACATTCAGTATCTTTCTATATCTGAATTTAAGGTATTTAATGAAAATGTCCTCATGAAGCTTAGCGGGATCTGTTGTTTGGCCTGTTCGACCTTCAGAAACGATTCCGCTTTTACTAAGCTTCCTGTTGCCATATGTTTAATCAGCAGCTGAATGAATTTTTGAAACTTTATGAACCTAACGCGAAACGAAGTATCCAAATCAAATACTACATTACTTTAAATACTGACTGTTCACATTCAGCCTAGTATTTCTTACACGCACTGTATTTGCATAATATAAACATAAACAGTGATTCGGTTCGGTGATTCCTACGTAATAGCTATTATTAAACGCACGTATTCATACGCAATTATTATTGTTTTATTTTTCTGCAGGATAAATCATCCCAATTTTTTGTAAGGATGGAGTGGAATGTTTTGATGACTGCTTAAACATTTTATAGTATATGTATTCACATATTATTGATGGATAAAAATATGTAATGTCACATGCAATTAGTTGTCATTGGTCATTGATCAAAAATACAATGATAACCCGCAAAAGAATAGATTCTCGCGATGTAGCAATGTTAGTTTTGACTCCATGGGATAGCGAATGTCATTACCAAATTTTTAGATTTTTAAACCTTTGAGATTTCCTAGACCTCGTAATCATCGGAATATAAAAAACTAGATTTAAAATATAAAATTCATTCAGTTAAACTTTCAGAATAACACGCTTTAATTATCACAATGTTGCCTAATTTTCGAAAACTACGTAGGCGTTTTTTCGAACTTTGTCGCTTTGTGGTTGAATGTTTTATTCTTTAAGTATTGTAATAGCGAAAAATTTCGAATTTGCGTCGGTATGTCAGTCCGTCCGCTAATCCTTGACCCTTCTGTAACTTAGAAAGTTCTGCTCGGATTTGCCAAGTTTTTGAAAACCTCCAGTGGCGGCGGAGCTAAGCGCAAAAAACGAAAGAGATAAAAATCACTCAAACTTCGTTTTTTGACGTTTTTGGGAGGCTCCTGATCATTTAATCAGAAATATTTGTATGGGGAAGATGCGACGTTATTGGGGGGACAGTACTATCGGTAGGGCAGGGGAAACGTATTTGCGGACTAATTGTACGACTTAATCGATCTGTTTGTTCTCTTTGTTTTTTATGTTCGCAACTAACTCATCCAGACTCCATGTTTCTCTTGTGAGAGCGTGCTAATTATTAGTTGTGTCCACAAAATATTGCAATCTAATAAATGGTGAATTTCTTTTTTCCAGAGTCGAATCACCTTGGTGATCCGGGCAGTGGCGGCGGCGGAAGCGGCAGCAGTGGCGGCGGCTACTGGCAGCTGCACCTGGACCGCGACCTTATCGATACCATCAGCGCCATCTATCCAGAGTGGTTTAAAGGAGGGACCAATATGGCGGAGGGCGGTGGCGGAAATAGCTCAAAGGCGGCGGATGGGGGCGGGAGGGATTCTCCTCCCTCATCGCAACCCAGGGAATCCCCGCCAAAGGCTGTCATCGACACTACGCCGATACACATGGACCAAAATAAAGAATGTAAGTTGCATGTTTCATTTTTATAGGATGAGGTGCTACAGTGATAGCAATATGATATGCCTTGGTTTACGATTCATCCTATCTTTTAAGTTTTATGAGATATCAGCAATGCGAATAGCCAATAATAAGCAAAAGGTGTGGGGTCTGATCTGCACATATTTCGCCCAGGTGATAGTATGGTACGAGGAGTTAACCACTGATGCTTTATTGGATCAAAATATTCCTTTGGATCTCCTTCAGAGAATAGGTAATATTTTTTACACAAATGGTAAAAGAAAAATTTGATTGATATCGTTAGAATACTTCTTTGTAATGATAAATCCAAAATTGGCATTATGATAGGGCGGGGTATTACCCGCCATTTTGAACATATATCTCGTAAACTTCTAATACTGTGTAAATAAAAACTAATAGAAACAATTATGTAGGGAATTAAAGTATCTATCCTTTCGTTTTGGTAGAATTTTTCAATACAGTCAACAGTTTACGAGAAATTCAAGGATAAAGCTACATGCAGTGCTGTTTTTTGTATACCTCGATTTTTGAGATAAGGAGCTGGATCAAGTTACGTTGCCCATCCTGTACACATCATAGTAGAGATGTAATGAATGCAAATTTTTAGGCGTTCGTAAATGCGAATACGAATATCCACCCCGGCAAGGTTATTTGGTAAAAAACCTATAAAACGTCAAAAAAAGTGTGCAAATAGTAGATTCCACGTTTGCTTACCATGATCGCTGTTCGCTGACGTTTAAGCAACACGTACAGCTACAAAACGAGAAAGCAACTCACGTTTTTCATGTTTTTTACATAATAGCCGTGCGGGTCACTGAGAAACAGCTCAGAAGTTAGGAGAAAAAGGATCAGGAGATATAAGTGGAGTTGCCGGTCCTGAAAATAACTCAAATTCCAAGTTAATCACCTACATAGTTTAGAATATGTTTGTGTACTTTAAACTTTCGTCAACATTTTAACTTCTTACGCCTAGGGCGGGGACGTATTATAATCGCTAAAAATTTCTAAACAGATAGTATGTTTTTATGATGTTATATATGATTTTTTTAAAATGGGTTCAGGTGTGGCGGAGAAAAAGGCCAAAAACGAAAAAAAAAAAACCCTCAAACTTTTTTGACGTTTCAGACGATCCAGATAATTTTAGGAAAAGTATTTTTATGGGCTGAAAATTGGAGGTTAGGGGAACTTTTTGACGTAGGTATTTTTATACGCCTCCCAACCCCAGTAATTCTATGCACATATTGAGCATGTTTCACTCATTAAACATGTCCCCGTACATTTACCCTTAAAACTTGGAAATATCTCCAACAGTGGGGTGTCGGTACGTGGGACGTAGTCCCCCAAAGAACAAGCGTCGGCATCGGTGCTCATACGTCACAGTCGGCAGTCGTTTTCGTACTGCTGTGTGCACTACTGCACTGTGCATGGTGAAGGCAAATATCATCATTCACGAGGGATTGGTAATCGCAACGATCATATGGGCCGGCAGGAGTTCCTGTCAGGGGGAGGAGGAAGGTCATTTAATTTTTCTGATACATGTTCGTAGCTAATTTTTTTCTTAGAAGGGCTAACTTGTGCCGAACAATCCTTTACCAAGTGATGACAGCGTTGCGTAAGAAGTACAGAGTTAACTTACTTGACGCCATTCTTTCCTTTTTTTAGCACTTTATTGTCCATGACAGCCCCAAGTATGCAAAATGACAAGGCTGCGACGCTTGGGCTTTTACAAGACAATCAACAGCTCAAAACAGAAAAATGTTGATCAAATGTATGTTCTAAAATATTTAGATACAAAAAATTCATAGATGCGATCAACTTGGAATTTTAATTATTTTTAGAGCCGAAAGCCATGCTTATAAGGCTGATCCTTTTTGCATCAGTTTCCTTGTTTAAATTTGTTCTGGAATTTATTATAATACAGGTTTTATTGTTATTGATTTATTTTATAACTTTTCGTTCATAGTTCATCGAAATAAGTACCAGCCAAACAAGTTGGCTAGTGACTCAGATCAGACACATTGTATACACTTTTATTTATTGCATATGCGTGAAGTATCCGGATTGCGATTTTATTTCACTTCTCATCGTGTTTTATATTATATGCCCATTTTAATCGCATTTTATTTATCTCTTGACATAAATAACCCACATGTAATATAGTCGTGGTTTATTAAAATACCAATTTGAGTGTGGTCTGATAAACAAATCGAAGCAGGAGTCATGGGGATGCTTCCTGTTCGAAATGTAAAACCTGCTGTTTTTAAGGTCATTCTCTTTTTTTTTTTGAAAATAGTGTTTCCACGTTAGAAAATCTAAGAATGTGAACTGGGCGTTTGCATTTACGAGCAAGATATCCTATCCCTAGTTTTTAGTCTAATTTGAAATAGGAAATGTAAAAGGACTCGACATACAATTTAGTTCAAGTACATCACTACCCCATATAAAGGGAGCTCTCACACTACAGTCTGTTTGTGTCGTCTAGACAAAAAGCACATTCATAAAACAAAAACACTTTAAGTTGCACAATCTCTCAACGAAATCTTATCCCTTCTCCTCGATGACATTTACCGTTTCAAGCATTGTACTCCTTTACTGCTCCCGATACTATTCCCAGATTCTACCCTTTACTCCACTATTATTCATCTCCAATAAGGTGCCCGAAACGAAAGTAAGGGTTTTTTCCCAACATCTATAGTTTCATTCATCAGCCAGGGAATCGTGGAGGTGTTCTACCAGTTGCCTTCAGTTATATCCACATTCTCCCTTAAGACTGGACCCTTTGGATGTTGCTATCCATACAAACTGAAAATTTGTTTAATCCAACCTTCTACGCAAAATACTTCAATTTGGCTAAAATATACTTTTGTTAAATTAAGTACGGGGAAAAAATATGACTTATTTTCATCGGCCTCTCAGTGTTTTGGACGATATATTAAACTGTCTCATTTTAATAGGGGAAGCATGCATATCGTGCTGCTTCATTTTTGGATAACAGTGTAAAGTAGGAAAAATCAATTAACAATGTAGAAGTAAAGATATTGTCAAAATACACGATCTTTCAATTACGCTTTCTCTCCAACGCAGTTAGTTGAGCTTAAAAACAGGATATGATATTCATTTCCCAGAAATACTAATTAAAGTTGTGTTTGCACCAGTAGGAAATTGGCTCTAAGCACTGCTGTACAGTTGAAATGTTTTGTCTGTATGGAAAATTAGGTTAAGCATACATTTTCCAAGTCGGTAGCTATTCCAAACATATGTGTTATTTCAGTTTCAGCTTTTAATTTTTCTTCCTCTCGCTGATAGTTCAAAACATGTTTTTGGTTTTTACGCGCATTGAATCCATGTTTTATTTAACAGGCTTGAGAAAACATTCTCTCTCTATTGTATATTTTTTCTCATTTTTTGCAGCCCTGAAAGTGAAACTTCTCCTACGGCGGCCTTTTGATCAGCTTGTCGCACAGGGGATCATGCCTCGTAAGTACCTTGTTGTTTTATCAGTGGCGTGACTGCTAAATGGTGCTCAGGTCCGAAAAGATAAATTATTACTCAGAACGTTGTGCTCTTTTTTCTTTTAACCTGGATTTTTTTGAAACATGGATGACTTTCAAAAATCATAAGTGGACACACATTCTTGTACCTTCAAATTCGGTTGAATGGTTTCACAGACAAAGTTAAATCATTGATGACATTGGACAATAAGTTGTGTTTGGAACGATTAGATTTTAAGGATGTTTTAAGTTATTGCATTCAAAATTCTTAATAGATGTAATATTGAATCGTACCCTCGATTATCGCTTTGATTAGTCCTCTGTTTTTGGAATTAACTAACTGTAGAATTTTCTTATTGATACGCTCATTACCAAAATACATTTTTCTTGCAGCACACAAAACACCTGCAGCCTACCATGGTCAAAGACGGCAGCTGGAACGGGCAAAAACTGGAGATATGCTCAAAGCCAAAATCCAGCAAAGGCCTCCTAGGCAAGAGCTGGAGAGGCGACACATTCTGGAGGCAGATCCTGGCCACGTTGACCCCAGCTTGGCCGAAAGGCAACGGATGCTCAAGAAGGCCAAACTAGCCGATCAGCTCAACGATCAACTCTCACATAGGTATGTACGAGTATATAAGAATTAAAAATAATTTCCGAACTGGAAATATATGACCATTCAGTTAAAAAAGCGTAAGCTTGGTTTCGTTAGTTGCATAAAACTGAGATCAGTCTCGTCAACCATGTTCATCGATCAGCTGTGTCCAACATTTTGTCCGTGCACAGGTAATAGTAATATAACTAAAAAAATGTGATTTTTGAGATGATGGGCTCAGAGATTTTGTAGATATTTCTAACCCAACTTTCATAAATCTATATGGAAATGTCTTTTTGATTCCGAAATTTTTCGAGGTTACAATATTTCTTTCGGTAATAGTGTATTTGTACGTACACATTTCCTAATTATTCATTTTGACTCTTTTTTATCTTTGTTTGTTGTTGTTTTCAATTCTTATACTGTTAGTTCAACATGTTCATTGTTACAGCAACAAATCAATCTATTATTAGCCAATTTGTTAGGTTGTTTATATTGTTTATCTGTACTATTTTGGGTTAATAAAACAACACAAAAATGTCCTTAATTTTTTGTTTACGTTTCAACAAACAGCACGTGACGTATTATTTATTTGAAACATCGTTGCGTTCGGGACAGATTAACAACATAATGAATCTGTATATGTATAACTTCACCTTTATATTTTTGCTTTTACTTTCAGGCCCGGTCCTCTCGAACTCATCCAAAAGAACATTCTTCATACAGAAGAACATATAGAACAGGCTGTCAAGACTGGAAGGATACCCTACAAGGCGACCAGCGAGGGCCAGCTTAACAGGCCACAGTTACCTAGCAATTACATCAATCCAGAAGAGGACTCGCAAAGCTCCGAAGGTGATAATACGGTAAGTCATTTTTACTTCTAAATTAAAACAAATAAATTTCGGACCGCATGATGTTCTCAAAGATGCCGTCATTAGTCACTAAGTTTAAATGGTATAGAGTAATAAAAAAATAAAATATTAGCTGCTGCGCTGATATATAATAATAATAATAACGGTTCATTGTCCAACACTAAAAATAAGATGAACGATATTGACTCTCAAGTACTTAAAACTTACGAGCATAATGAGATCAGTATGGAACTGCCGTCGGACAATGTGTTTCCGCTAAATAATCCTTTATCCTAGCGGAGAATTAGCAAAATGCTATCTGTTTATACTATTTGGTTTGTAGCAGGTTTCGTTAAATAAAAACATAGGAACTATTTGACGGCAATGCTTGCAGTTTTAGAAATAATCCGGTTTAAGCACTTGCACCTGAATAAGGCTTCGCGGAAGAGTTGGCCTAAGCGATATAGATTTTTGTATTACGTAAGAAGGTGATACAGCTAAGTAAGGGTTGCCTTTGTGATTAGCGAGAATTTTTCTTGATGGGCGTTAGCCTTTCATGGCCTATCTAAGGCAAACTCCACTAGATCATACCTCCGCTCGCTTGCCTAATACAGCTTAATGAAGTGTATGATAGAAATATAGTATTTATTTTATATTGATGCTTTGTGAAGATAGATATTTTTCAGATATCTCTTGCCCCAACCCACGCCCTTATTATTTCACCTGATTTACGCCGTGCAAATAACTAATAAATATCTGCTTTGCCATTTCTCTAAAAGATATATCTTTGTTCCAGGTCAGCCCGAGTCCTTGCGACGTGCTCGAGACGGCGGCCAAAAGCGCGGGCATAGTGGTATCCTTGATTCAACCCAGTGAAGGTAGCACGGTCGTGGTGACGTCTGCCACCCCCATTCTGAATAAAGACACCAGTGAAATAGTGTTCGCTGATTTGTGCCGTTCAGTTACTGCCCCCTTAATTTCTCAACAGCAACAGCAAAGTCCTGCGGCGTCATTAGTTTCTTCCACATCTACTCTCAGTCCTCTTTCCTCTGTGTCCAGTCCTGTGCCTTCGGTAGTGTCTCAACCAGCTACTCCCGTACCCCCACCACCTCCCCCGCCTATATCGCTGGTCACGAGGGCTGCGCCTTCACCCAAAACCGACGCACCTGGTAAGGACAAGAACAGAAAAAAGAGCAAGTCCAAAACTGCTCCAAAAGCTAGGACCATCAAATTCCATGAGTACAAGGGACCACCCAGTGCTCAGAAAGCTGCTGCAGCTACTCCCAGCTCTGGAGAGAGCTCGTATGACCTCCTGTTGAAGCAACAAACCTTGTTGCTGCAGTTCCAGTTGCAGTTGCAGCACAAGTACCCTCAGATCATCTTACCCGCTTCCCAGAAGACTACTAGTACCGAGAGTAATAATAGTAATGGTAGTATTAGTAACAATTCCAATACACAGCAGTCTTCGCCGTTATCTTCAACTTTCTCGGAGTCTTCTACTAGCTGTACAAGGATCTCGGGAAGGTTGGAGGATATGAAGGTTAGTGATTTGAAAGCGGAGCTTAAACGCCGTAACTTGCCAGTTTCAGGTTCCAAACCGCAGTTGATAGAACGGTTGAAACCATTTACGAATAGTTCCAATGATATTGTCAATCAAAACCCTAGTTCTGTTGAGTCTTCGGTGCATAGCAGCAATATGGACCAATCCCATAACTCACCGTCGTATCAAGATATTGATTCGCCAGCTAGTTCTGTAAAAGAGGATCTTTGTGAACAAATGGATGTGGATCCTTTGAGTCCAGCTCCTAATAAGATGCAACATGAACCTTTTCAACAACAAGCACAGGTACAACAAACAGAACCTATAGAAAACTTGGTGCAACAGAAGCAAAAATCTAATGAAGAGATCGTTAGAGAACAGCAAAGGCAAATTGAAGAGTTACAGCGGGAGCTGACACTTTCACAATTGAAGCTGCAGGCAGCTACAAGAAGTGAACCAAAAGCACAAATGATTGCGTTGCAGAAACACCTGCAAGGTAGGCAGCAACAACAGCAACAGGCAAATCTGATGCAACAAATGAAGCAACTTCAAGCATTGCAAGAGAAACAAGCTCAGATAAACGAAGAGCAACAAAGGTTACAGCAACAGCAACATGTTGCCTTCCAAAACCAGAAGAACATTTCTAGTGGGCTGTTGTTGAATGGTACTGATGCCGCCCTGGTTTTCAACCAGTTGATGCAAGGTAAGGCCAAAGTGGTTAATGGGCATGCTAGGCACAACTCGTTGCCAAATTTGATCAGCTCATTAGTGTCTCCAATCATTACAACTGAGTCGAAAGCCAATTATATAGACACGAATGGTGCAATACCAGAAATTAAAATTGAGTATAACAGTGAAAGTAAGCCACCACCTCCTCAGTATGATGAAGCAACGAAACACTTGAATAACACCAAAAAGAATCATATCAAAAGCGAGATTGTTGATGACGTTTTAGAAATCCTAATAAAAAATGGCGAGCTGCCTCCAAGTGCTGCTAATGACCCTGTGACACCAGGATCGGCAGGGATTAGATCGACTGAACTGATTTTTCAAACTAACGTTCAAATGAACAATAACGATACTCAAACAAATGGCAACATTGACATTAATAACCCAGAAGATGCTCTCGGTATAGACCCATCTGATCTTCTGGAGACTTTGGACAATATCGAGAACATGGACTTCTCTCAACTTGTCATGGAGCTGGGCGGCTGTCAATCAGCGCAAAATGAAAATAATAATCTTCCGACCCACTCACTGCCGGAGAACATGGAGAGTATGGACACAGATGATTGGTTAGCGTCGCTGCTGCCTTCCAATGACAATATGTGCAATAACTCTGCCCCATTGGCTAGTCATGAAACAGATCTCGGTGGTTACGATCCCTTATTGGGCATCGCGCAGGATCCTTTCGATCCTTTCAATTTGGAAGAGTTCAGGGGCGCGACAGATTTGACGGTACCACTGTCTTGGGACAGGGTTGACTATGCTGCGTAATAGTAGGTGGAAGCTTCTGAAAGAATATATTCAGACATCCGTACTAGTCTAAAAGCTGGTGCTATAAGGTAGCGCATGCTTTTGTCAAAGTTTTCCTTTTCTGTACCTTCTCGTTCAGGTGCCCAGGAGGAGGGCATTGTACCAACCACCTAAAACTTTTCACGACTCTTGACTTCACGAGTGGAAAGAGTGGATAACTTGGTTACCTCCGGCAATCTAATCTACAAGGTCGAAGAAAGAAGACCAAGATCTTTTAAAATCATGCGGTACAATTGCAAAGGAAATTAAAATTGAAGGTTCAAAATGGTCGAAGATAATACATATAAGTCGCCTGAACATTCCTAAATTCTGGTATAGTACAATTCTTCCGAACGACATATTATGACAGACGTTTCAAAGGTTGGAGGTCCCAGTTGATCACAGGAGCATTGATACAGATTCACATAGTCCGGGCAATATCTTCGCATCTGATGAGCAAGATATTCAGATTTAAATTTTTTGCATACCCTTATTTAAAAGGGTTCTTTTTAACAAATCTGCATGTTGCCAGACCCAAATTTACGTCAGAGATTTGTTGAAAAATTTAAATTAAATATTTCGCTTCAATTAACGTGATTCTGTGTTTTTCAAAAATGTTTCAAAAAATTTGAGAGCGAAAAAAACAATTTTTGAAATACATATGTTTACTAAAATTGTCTAAACATTCTTTGACGCAAATTTGGGTCTGGCAACATGCAGATTTGTTAAAAGGAGCACTTTGTGAATAACATTATGTAAAAATACGGATTAGAATATGTTTCCCATCCGATGCGAAGATATTGCACGGACTAACAGTTCTTATTCGGCTCCGGAAGTGGAAGGTGTTGAGAAAATATCAGCTACAGAATGCTGTATCTGCTGGCGTCCCGTTACCAGCGATCTACATATTCGAATGGGCCATAGTCTTGACTGTGACGATAGTTTTGAAATCTGAAACTAGCGCTGTTTTGTGTGAATTCCCAAGTTCCATTTTCATGGAATAGAAGAACAGTTTAGTACATCCTACCTTCACTGTCTCACTATTTAGTATTACTACTGAAGTGAACAAAAACAATCATTATGATTTGAGAGGTTATAGGTTTTAAAGTAGCTGCTTTTTGTTCCTGAACTATGATCAACTTATTAGAAAATTCCTTTGTTTTACAGTTATGCTTAATGAAAAAGTGTTGGAGATATGAATTATTCATTTAAATCTTGAAAGAGTGATAAATTCCGGCTCAGCTACATATTCCACTTGACATAATAATATGAAAAGGATAACGTACAGCACCGAAGGTTTACGGCTGCGAGTCAAAATTTAAGTTTGTATAAATTGAAATATTAATAAATACTACTAATATTGCTAATTACTGAATTTGATAGTAGGATCGGTAAAACAATAGTACAAGATATATTGAAAATAGTTTGGATCACTACACATATGAAAATTTCCAAACTGAACTATCTTGCATTGTTATGCAAGACAGAATACGGTATGAGTACGCTAATACAGACGGATACGTAATACATCAAGTTTTGGGGCGTTTTTCTCTTATGTCCCCGGTTCTCCTGGTATATGGGCTCCATGGTCATTACTGGAAATCACTCTAACGTCACTCATTTGTCAACGCATTTGCGCGAACAATAAGTAAAGGCTTAAAAATTGTGGTTGGAACTCACTGAAACGCCAGTTACCGATAGTTACGTCACCACTGGAATAATTTTGACAACCACACTAGCGCCGCCTAGCGGGAGCAAAATTGGACATTGTATGACGTCAACAGTGTGCTCTAAAAAATATTTGATATTGAGTCACTTGCGTCATCGCTGACCGCCCACAACTATAGTTGCAAAGCCTACATTCAAGGGTATTCAAAAGAGTTTAAAAATAGCATAAGGTAAAAATAAATAATATCTACCGTAAAACTTGTGTGTTGTACGTAACAAGGAAATCTATGACATTCCACAAATTGAAAATGGCCGTCGTTTCGCCAGATGAAATGGCGCGGGACCAGGGCGGCTTTACTGGCCAGGGAGCACATCACTTGTCTAACCTTTTTTCCTATATTTATACGCAGAGCGGTACTTGAAACATGTCGGAAATATGTTATCACGCTTTTATATGGATAGTAACAAATGTATATTTGCACATGAGTGCTAGCATTCATCATTTATTTTTGCTTTTCATAATATCTGATGTGAACATTCCGTACTCACAGATCCCTTGTTAATCTTATCATACATTTCTAAGGGTACCACGATACAGTAGCACTCAATCATTCAGTGGTCCTTTTTTGAAATTACAGATATAGTTTACGCATTCGGATAGAATAATTTGTGGCACAAGTATTACATTAAAACACTGGAGAAATCAAATGTTACCTTTGTTTGAAAAACATCGTCACATCGTCAGATAAAGAGTTTTGCCAAGTAGGAGCACAGGTATTTACAGATTAATTATTTTCTCTTAGTGTTTTAACTGTGTATCTATTAACTTTCGTACTCTTTTGATTCTTGAAAACTAAATTAATAGTATTTGCCTATACTAATCATTTTAAAATTTGGTATAAAATGTTGCCAAGAATTATTGTTCGATAAAGGGATACCCTATATATTTTGACTGGTTTTCCTAGGACCGCCATGTGTATATGTATATAGTATGTGTATATAATGTTATATTATTATAAAATATTATTTAGTGGTATGTGAGCATATCTAGTACTTTATTGTATATACAATACTTGTACACATCTAAACAAACTTGGACGGTTGCTAACGCATATCTCTATCTAGAGCAACGCCTGTCAATACAGCGTAATCTTCATATGTCACAGTATGCACATTTTTCCGGTATCCACTAACAATTTTATAGGCATAAATAATCGAACTTCAAATATTATTGGGATATTTTGAATAAACATTCCTTGTGATAAATTCACCATAGATAACAAAAGTCGTGTTAAGGGACAAGTCGGTAAAATCCATTTACATGATAGTTACACATGTGGTTATATTTAGAATAAAGAAATTTGGCTGGAAAACAGTAAAAAATCAAACGGTTTGGTTGTTTACGTTAAGAACAAGTGGATATATTTTTGGCATCTCATTGCCTATATAATCGTAACTGAAAATACTCATTTGGAAAAACTGAGACATTTTTAAGTCTAGTCACAATATACTTTATTATATGAAATATACAAGAGTATTATTTTAGCTGTATATGAATCATAAAACCTTAATGTAGATGCGTTTATTTTTATACCGAGCTATATTTAACTAAGGAATATTATACTATTCATCCGCAATTTCATAATCCATATATTTCCTTTACCATTATCTTCAGAAAGAGACGGTTATAAAATAATGGCCTTGCCTAACGTAACAGATGAAATATGTTTGTCGAATGGTATAAATTTTATGTTTCAAGAAAAACTTCCAAACAGTTTTAGCATGTGATTTAGTTGAAACGATTTGCACTAAACCTTTTTGGGTGTATGTACTCGTACGTAGTAATGTCATTTTCGTATTCACCCCTGTGATGATATTTTCTGATTAACGTGGCATCAATATGAAGATACGGAAATCATTTGAAAATCAGCTTTGACACTTCATATTTCATGAAATAATACCATCTTCTTTCCAACATATTACAAGCATCGCATTTCTCAAATTCTACATACATTGGGGATATTTTAAATGATATTCTAAAGGTAAACGTAAAAAAAACGATTTCTTTCAATATTAAATGCTAATCTAACGTAACATTCGCGTATGTACTGAAATGCATAAATACTATGCGTCATTGAACTGTAGGTCGATATATCAGGACCAAATAATGTAACTAAGAAAATATTAGATTTTCTTCGTAAGTCTAATTTGTAACTTTAGTGAGTAAGTTTCCGTTATTTTGTATTCCATTTACTACAATTTCCTATCGACCTTAACCAGTGAAAAATTAGCATCTTCTAAGTTTGTCTAGATCAATCAATCCAGTGCTTATAGAAGGTGAAAACAAAAATTTTCGTGCCGTGGTGCATGTTACATCATATTTTGTACTAAAAACATTACTTTATCCCATGCTTTCCTGCAACTTTCTATACGTACTGGATTATAAATGAATCGTGTGATTATATTTGCTATATGTACAGATTGTTTTGTGACAAAGTCGCTATTATTTGTTATTTCAAATGTTAGACATTTATTTTGTTGACTATTTGTACTTAGACAGTCAATCGCATGGCTGTAATGCGTTTCCATCCCCTTTCAACAGGTATTAGTTCAATATGTATGTTAGCTACTTTTTAGATAATTTTGCTCAGGCTTTATTCAAGGTGACGCATAATAGCTTCAGCATTAGTAAAAAATTGATTCAAAATTATCTTATGGTGGGTGACCTATAGGCAATTTCATCTTAGTTAACTAAACCCCTTGACATCTGATAGCTATGGTTTATACTGTATAGTCCTTTCAGCAGGGCTGTAGTTCTTTTTCCAATCGTTTGTTTGGTTTCAGTGGTAGTAAACAATATGTTTAACCACACTGCACTATTTTTTTTACAAATTCACCCTTTACGCGTATATTAGGTAATCTTTTCCTGTAGTATTTTAAGCAATTTTATTTTTTTATACCTATTGACAGGGGCAATGGAATTTTTCGCCTAAAAGTGTATAAAAATATATACAGAAATGCCTTATTAAGAATCCGTATTTGTCAGGATATAAGTGCTAATATTATAAACTACACTCCGTACTGTAATAGTTTTAAGTGTAGATTCAGTCAAACGTGTCAACATGAAGTTCTTTCGTACTGCGCGAGTTCCAATCCATATGTGTATATTCATTGCTCATTCCTGAATGATACTTTCATAATGCTAGTAACTGGACCTTTCGCAGTATAAAAGAATTGAGATACTGGGTTTATGTAAATGCAGATGTACAGTGGCGCTGCATCGTTGCTTCAATTTAGTAATATTTATTGACATGTTTGATACAGCAGTTTTGACATGGTAACAGTATGTGAATAAATCCAGGTTTTTTGCCAAATAAAATAATGAATATTTTCTATTTGTTTTATTTTGCCTGTTCTGAATTTCCTATACCGAAAGATGCTGAAAGACTGCGTAAAGTAGAAATCAAAAAGAATCGTAAAATTATGATTTTCCAAGGCGCCAAATACTATCTACATGTTTGTTCGCAATGGAAATGCAAACAGGTTGTAGTGACACGCTTTGCTCTATTCAAGCACCGTTAAAGTTTGTGACAGCCTATATGTTTTCTTTGGCTTTGTCGCCAAAATTTCGTAGTTTTAGTGCATAATTGCGACTCCTTCGACTACCAATCCTACCAGAGACAGCGTTGTATCAACACGATAATAATAATTACTGGTGGAAACTCGTACCTTCATCAGGCTTGCGCTGCTCTTTGCAAATAATGTAAGAAGTACTATGTCCTGAAAACGTTTAACACCACAACTATCTACAAGCACTCGCGCTTTTAAGAAGTAACACTAAAAATAAGAATTTAATGACAGAACTATGAAAAACCTATGTCAAGTGCACTTGTAATATGAACGTTAGTGCACTTGTAGTAGATATGTACTTTGATCCTGACTACATACTATGTGAATCACGAGACAAACAGATCCTTACGAGTATGTGAGCTAGTAGACTAGCATATTAGAAGAGCGGTAAATGCTTCACGCGGAGACATGGGCGCATTTTTGTTTTTATACGTGACGTGAGGTCGCTCGATTAATAAAACGATATTTGCAGAAATGAAACTGTATACGAGGAGGTACCCAAAAATACCGTGTGTAGTACACATTTCTGCCCCTAGAGGCGTACAGCGCAACTGATTTCCAGTTCAGTGCCACCTGCGTTGGCGATCTGGCTTGTTTGTTTCGTTCCTCTGTAGTCGTTATTTTTGCTACAGCTGTTTCGTTTTTTACGATGGCAAGTTTCAGTGAGCAACGTGCAGCTGTGAAATTTTGCTTTCTAATTGGTAAAAATGCTGCTGAAACGGTTTTAATGTAGAAAATAGCTTACAAAGATGATGCTATGGGTAAAACTCAGGTATACGAGTGGTTTGCTCGTTTTAAAAATGGCGACATGACGATTGATGACAAACCTCACTCTGGACGTCCATCAACTGCCCAAATTGCAATTGCAGCTTGTGCTATTTGGAGGTTTTAGGATGATTGCGAAACAGTGTTCGGCAAAAAAGACCCGATTTAGGCCAGTCAGTCCACCATGATAATGCACCTGCGCGCACAGCCATCTCTGTTCGACAGTTTCTGGCTAAAAATGGCATGGTTCCGCTGCCTCACACACCTTATTTGCCTGACCTGGCTCCGTGCGACTTTTTCTTATTTCCACGGATGAAAAGGGGCATGAAAGGACGCCGCTTTGACGACATTGAAGAGGTCAAGAAAAAAAACGAGGGAGGAGCAGTCAGACATTTCTAAGCAAGACTTCAAAAAATGCTTCGAGATGTGAAAGCACCTGTGGGACAAGTGTACTGGTTGTAGTGGACAGTATTTTGAGGGAGATAAAGTTACTTTGTGAAAAAGATGAAAATAAATAGCTTTTAAAAAATAATTCCGGTTTTTTTTGGGTAACCCCTCGTTGTGTGTGTAAAATGGCATTCCTACAATGCAAGTTATAGAAGAACAAGAAAAGCGTTAACGCGCGTTCTTATTACGTTTTCTACACTCGGTGGGCTGGCTTCATAGCTTTTTGTGAGACCTCAGGCCTGGGATAAAATATGCGCCCTTTCCCCACATTAATTGAGAATTTTGTGCCCCAATGGCTCCGCGTTCTGAGGAGGCTGCCTCACTTGATTTTCGCTTGTAGTCTGTCCTGCACGCGATCGAAGCTTGGCCAATTTTGCAATGACATTAATTGGACAGGCTTTACATTGCTCCGAACGATTCAAGTTTACACCGAATCGTGAAGATATAATACAGGGATTGTCCGGAAAGTAATAGGACTCATTTTCTTCCGCCATGACTGTACTTCGGAGCGTGCGCGCACCGACTGGATTCGGTAGAGGGCGTTCCCAGCTAACGAATGAGCGGCTGGTCAGTTGTCTCCGATCACTTGGAGAGTCAGGACAGGCATTTTCGCGTGTTTCTGAGAGTGGTGTTGCTTTATCATGAATTTGTACCTCCCGGACAAACTGTCAACGCCAAGTTTTACGTGGAAGTGCTCAGGAGACTCAAACGAAGGGTCAGTCGGCTCCGACAAGACATCGCAGCCGACTGGAAGTTGCACCACGACAACGCCCCGGCTCACACCGCCTTTCTTGTGAACAGCTACCTGACCAAGGCCGGCATTCCAACGCTTCCGCAGCCGCCCTACAGCCCAGATGTGGCCCCCCGGACTTTTTGTGTTTCCTCGCCTGAAAAGGCCGATGAAAGGCAAGCATTTTGAGACGACAGGGGGGGATCCAAGCAGCATGCACCGCGGCTCTCAAGGCTATTCCGGAGAATGCCTTCCGTGACGCCTGCAATGCTTGGAAATCGCGCTGTCAGCGCTGCATCGACGCAGAAGGAGCCTATTTTGAAAGTTTTTAAAGAATTCTAACGATTGGCTCAATACATTTTTTAAATCGACTCAGTCCTATTACTTTCCGGACAAACCCTGTATAAGAATAGTGAATGGAGAAGTTAACGCAGCAGCCAAAATGTCGAGCCACAGCTCATCGTATTCGTTATCCATGGCAGTCGCCCTAATAGCGCCTTGACTACGCTGCTCATTTAGCGTCCGTATAACATCAAAAAATACCTTTCGTTCTCCGCGAATTCGATTACGTGCTTCCAGCGTCCGTCGAATAAAAATCTAATAGTATAAGTGCATACATCTAGTTTTCTTTCATTTAGAAAATATTAAATTAAACTGGTAATCTATTCAGATTCCGAATTATATGAACCGTCCTTGGATTCCTAACAACTGAAATAGAACAATAAAATCGTCGGTGATGACTGGGCAACGGCAGCGGCTTCGAACAATGTCTGCAAAATCTCGTCAAGTACAGCCACTTGGGTTGACATCGTCCTCGTAATCACCAGTCGTAGCATCGGAAATCTTTTCAACACACAAACACGGTTGTTCTCAGACATCTTGTGCGCTTTAAAGAATAGGGTACAGGGAGAATAAGAGAATATGTGTTGTTTGTGTTTGCCTGCCAGTTTATTGAAAAATAGTATAATGCGCGCTTTTTCTGGTATCTGGAAAATATTGAATTATAATTATCTTGAAGATTATCCTGTTGAGAAGAGTTTTTACCTCGGAGAAATATGGAGCTGTAATAAAATCCGAAAGGGGCACTGTTTACCATAATTTCACTTTCGATGAAATTTTAATATATTGCCACCAAATCGTATATTTCGGTGGTTTCACTTTTTTCTATGAACGAGAAATGGTAAAACTTACCCCTCAAACTTAAGATTTCTCGCCATTACGGTGGCGTAATAATTTACACCGCAACCTAATAAGTTTTTCCACGCACAAATACGCATATTTTTCAACGCACGACCGAAAGAGCTAAGATATCTGTGAAATATGGATATAACAATCGTTACGTTCAACTGCGCCTAGCAAAAATTATTTATAGTTATATTTTCAGGTACTGCTGTTTTATATTACCAGTATCAATAAAAGGCAAGCTCAAAATGGTACGACAATGTCAAGTGGGTTGTCATACTGACAGTGACAAGAATAGATTAGGAATACTCATTCGTGGCTGAGAACATTTTTAATTTGGCGGGATGTAGAAAATAGAAACACGTCAAAAAACAAATTGTAAGGTTTTTTAGGCGTTGACATTTACAATTTTTTTCATTTTTTTGCTTATACCTTCGCCACCACTGATTAAATATATCAAAATCTTCTTTAATATTATTATTTCTATGCTGCTACTGTGGCTTTGTTCCAGACTTTCATTGCCAAAACCAGCAGTCGTTTCCCAACTATTAGAATACCACACGTAGCTTTTCCGCAGAGATTATTGTAGAGACCTTGTTCTAATATACAGAACCTTGAATCTATCATAGAACAAAGCTGGTAACCTTACCATTTTTTGCGAGAAAATATTTTAAAGGATATCAATTCATTTACGAATATTTGCTTCTTTCCAATCATTTCTTCCTATCGGTGACAGTCAGCCATCTTGGGGGTAGGTAGGCACTTCAGTCCGTAATTTTTCCAGTCGAAAAAATCACGAAAGTTAAATATGTTGCTTAGTTCATGGAGCGTAGAAAATGTTATTGGATAGTTGGCGATACATGCCTTCCGAGAGACTGGTGGAAATATTTTCGGGAATGTGTAACCAATAAAAAAATGGTGTCAAGTAGATTGACTCTGAACTTTCCACGCAACACCGTTATCATTTCGTAAAGGATTATGTTCAGCACAAACCAGACCCTCTGAGAAAAGTCAGTCAAACAGGTCCATATATCCCATAGAGACATTCTTTCCCTGCCCTACCGGTCGTACATCTGGCAACATCGCTTCTTCCCAATATTTAAGCCGGACTTAGTCTTTTTCTTTTTGGCCTTTTTCTCTGCCGCTACTGGACCGATTTTCAAACACTATGCGTCCTTGGCAAAGTGACATATAAATCCGAACACCTAGTTTAAATGGTTTTATTTTAATAAAATTTTGTATAAGTACTTAATGAAGCATAATAAGTAAATGATAAAAATTTCAAAATGATTGCACTGCTTTAAAGCCCTTTGACCTTTAATAATGTGTGGATGCACCCTGATGTGCTACGCATTGTCCAACGCGCCTAGGCATGCTTCTGATAGATGGTCAATGTCCTCCTGTGGTATCTCATTCCAGGCAACCACCAACTCCTCTCGAAGTGCTTCTAGAGTCTGAGGAGGACGTTGCAAATTGAGCAATTTCCTACCCATCATATCCCACACGTGCTCAATTGGGGATAAGTCGGGAGATCTTGGTGGCCATGGTAACAATGTGACATCATTATGTTGAAAGAAGTCTATTGTGACTCTTGCAACATGTGGTCGGGCATTATCTTGTTGGAAAGTTGGATCTGCC